CATGGTGAAAACCAAATTAGTGTGACTTTAACATCGCTGAATATGTCTATCGTCGCCTACTATCATCCGACTCATCTTGAAAATCTACATTGAAATTCACTTTCGTTTTTTTATTATTATCAAGATATATAAATTAGTTTATGTAAGTCAGGAACAAGCATGGTTTGTTTCAAAGTTACATATAAGTTTGTTTGTTGTATTTTGTAAATTTGATTGAAAAAGTGATTACAGTTCAGTTCCATCTCTAATTTTTTTCAAGTTCTCGAAAAAGAATAGAACATTTGTAACTTTATGGTTGTTGACTAGGAATGAATTTAAGAAAAAATATTTCGTCCTAGTTCAGTGTGCGTGTGATCCTTATGCTGTAGCAAATAAAATCTGAATCTCGAAATTACTTTGTTTCCCGCTGTACTACTAATGTGGTGGATGCTACTCATAGGATTGTTTATAAATAGTATCTAGCGGAACGTCGCGTGGAAGTTGTTGTGGTTGCAGCTAGAGAAGGGTTCTAGGAGGTTAAAAAGCATGGGATATGCAGGATACTTTGAAAATCAAGAGAGCGAAAGAAGATATTTCTTTAGCCAGTGGTGTCGCTACCCAAGGACAAGATGAAGGTGCCCAGGCGTCGGCCGCCTAAGGATGGAGACGTTAGGAGTTTCTTGGAGCAGTTCTGAAACATTGCGGAGCTGATAGAGGTACAGGAGCTAGGGACAGAGTCGACGAACTCAAGGACACTGCTGCGGGACTCGGCGACGGTAAAGCTTGGTGGGATAGACTCCGGGACGTCCTGGTTTCCTGACTGGCGACGGAGTTTAAAGACCCAGCGTCACAACAGTTCGAAGCTCTGCGTCACACGCCTCATGGGGACTTCCTGTAACAGTGAGTTTAAAGAACAGTTGCTGGTATCCCAGTTCATCAAGTGTCTCGGGATTGATAACTTGACGACTACCATTTCAACTCATCGTCCAGTGCAGGTAATGCAAAACAGAGCAGGTTCGTTAATTTAAACGCAAAAAACAATTATCTTGCAAGTTTGTACAGTGAGCGTCAACAATTATTTTTACCGTTAATAGCTGATAACATTTCATTAGTATATCAGAATAATCTATTTCGTTTACATCCACTCTTTAACAAATAGATTTTTAAGATACGATTCTAACATTATTTAATCTTAGCTTAATGACAATAAGTTGTAACAAAGTGAAACATTCTACAGATTGTATTAAGTAAGATTTCTACAATCTTTTTTGAATGAACAACCTAATTTTATATTATGTATATTATTTTTTTTCTGTACAATTTATTATCTATCTCAGGTGCCAATTAGTTTAGTCCGACAAGATGGTATTATCTATGCGAGTGGTTTAACATTTACTTATCATCCAGAATCTGGACCAAGACAACATTGTCAACCAGCACTTGAAATTATACGTGCAGCAAGTATTGCCGCTGTTGCGGCGGCGGCAGCAGCTGCGTCTGCTGTTACTTCATCAAATTCTTTGTCAACATCAGAAGAATTATTATTAGAACCTTCATGTTCTTCCAGATCAGGTATCGTAGTATCATCTGCAACAATTGAATGTAACAATGTTGTACAACAACAAAAATCATCTGAATTCAATTTATCTCAACATCATAAAGATTCAATGTGCCTTGATAATAATTCATTTCTTGCCTCAGTAACAACATCATCATGTCAAATGATAAATAGATTAAATAATTGTAATAATAGTAATAATACTACTAGTGGTTATTATGAAGATGATACTTTCAATCAACAACATAACTATCCTCATCATCAGGAGCATCAGTTACAACAGTCACATCAACAGCATCACTATGCTGTTGACACTCAGGAACATCATCATCGGCGGAATAATAATAATAATCCAAACTCTTTAACTACAACAGATCGTCTATTTTATATTCCAGTGAATACAAGTTGAATCTCTTATTAAGTAAAAGAATTCTTCAGTTGCTTTTTTTTTCTTTTGTTTATCAGTTTGTTAAATAGATATTCACAATATTCTTTTCATTTACATACGCTAAACAAATAAAAATGATTTAAATTTTAAGTCTTTCTTTATATTCACTTTCTCTGTTTTGATTAGTTGTTGAATCCATTAAATAAACAAATAAGACTGTAGACTAATGTTTATTTACATCTTTATCCGATCCCACTCATTCTTGAATTGATTTATTTTATTATAGAACTTTAAAAACGTCAACAAAATTTTAGTATCATAATTTCAGTAACTTTATACGCGCGTATCCATGACTTTTTGCTTATATATCATCCTTTCCTTCCGCATCCCCATTTTTTTGATAGATTGTCTGATTTCTTTTTGTTTATTATAAACAAAATTTGCTGGAAACTAAACAAAATAACTGTATTACTGTTCTTTTTGTTTTGTCTCTTTTTTTTCAAGTGATTTCACATGATCCCTTCTTTGTAAGTAATTACACTCAATTTTCTTTTTTTCCGTTAGAAATAAAGTTTATGTACAGTTAAGAAAAATATTTTTTTGAGACAAAGCCTCAGGAAATTCATTTTATTTTTGCTTAAAACTAAAGATTTATTAATCAAAACTTAGAAAAGCTGTAAGTGTTTTACATAATTTTTATAGGCTCTATCAGCATAATAAAACCATAGAATAGATGAGTTATGGTTAGCAGTGGATGAAATGAGCGTCTTGAATCCCATTGCTAGCCAAATACGATCTATTGTCTATCATCTTGTGTCATAATGGCTATATCGAGGCAATCAGCACAGGATGCCCATATGTCAACCATGATTAATCAAATTTCAGTCAATATATTAACAACGGGATAATCTAAACCATTTCAAATTGAAATAATAAAAAGTATTTTGTTGTCATATAGTACTTTTTATACTTCTAAATATTTACAAACAGCACGACAGCGTTTATTGTGAATATAGTTCATAATGGGCCCTAAGAGACATAAAGCTTAATTAGTAAGTAGTATGACATTCCGGATCGAAACAACTTTTATAATCAGCTGTAAGTAATAATAGGTCGGTAGCTCGTCACTTGAATAAAATTCAAAAAAGTCTTAGCTACTATAATTATGCAGTACTTAGACAAATGCTACAGATATTGTTAGAACTTGGTCCGATGTGATAACTATAGCGAGGTTGGGTTGACGCCGAATTCACGAATTAAGAGGTAACTCAACGTTTTTCAACAAGTGACGCCAATACTGTACAGCATACTTAAAACTAAATAGTATCTTGATATTATACTAAATAAAAAATACAATCGGCAAATGCTTTATCGAACAACAAAGTACTACATTGTTCATTGATTCACTTATGAAACAAGTTCAAAAGGTGAATTAAAAATTGAAAACAATCTAGGAACCTACTAATCAGCGATAGCAAGAAGAAAACTATTACTTTGTATACCAAAAGAAGGGATCACTTTGCAATTTTAAATGCACAAAAAGCAAGAACAATATTTCCAAAATCAATTGAATTCATTGCATTTTATTCCACCAATTATTCACCAACTATAAACATCTTGCAATTACAAGGAGTAGTGTAACTGTAAAAAGATTCTTGATTTATAATTTTGTTAGTGAGGCTAAAATGGATGTTCAATACAGAATCGAAAATCATAATATGAAGAATAGGAAATAGATTAAGTGATTAAACATGGATAAGATAGGCACATATTTACGTGTTGAAAAGATATGTTATGCAGAGTATACCAGGTAATGCTATAGTTACTAATAATCATAGTGACAAAAAGGTTTACTTAATGAAATTAAGTGGTGATATGTATGAATACCAAGGTTGTAATTGATAGTTTCATATAAATTGAGCAATGGATAGGAAGTTAATAATAAAAATATTTTTATATCTCAATGAGTATAAAAATTGCGTTTCTGACGTTTCGTGACTTAATGTAAGCCACTTCTTCAGAGTAAATAGATAACCGGAATTAACACAAGTTTAAATAGAATAAAGGAAACAGTGCAAAATATTTTTAATACAACCAAAATCATAATAGGTTTGAATATGACAATGTCAAGTTATTCTTGGTCAAGGTGAATTTGTATGACCTGACACTATTAATTTGTGTTATTAACTTCCTACCCAATGCTCAATTTATATGAAACTATCAATTACAACCTTGGTATTCATACATATCACCACTTAATTTCATTAAGTAAACCTTTTTGTCACTATGATTATTAGTAACTATAGCATTACCTGGTATACTCTGCATAACATATCTTTTCAACACGTAAATATGTGCCTATCTTATCCATGTTTAATCACTTAATCTATTTCCTATTCTTCATATTATGATTTTCGATTCTGTATTGAACATCCATTTTAACCTCACTAACAAAAATATAAATCAAGAATCTTTTTACAGTTACACTACTTGTAATTGCAAGATGTTTATAGTTGGTGAATAATTGGTGGAATAAAATGCAATGAATTCAATTGATTTTGAGAATATTATTCTTACTTTGTTTATATTTATCAACAGATCAAATTGTAAACAATGTTTAAATGTATTTTATCAAATGAATTGTTTTCCATAATTCTATTTTATGTCATACAGAGGATAAAATATCAAATACGATTTTCGCATTGAAAAAGAAATTTGTAAATAATGTCCCTTTTTTTGTTGTTGGCAAAATTGATTGTTAAATATTTAAAACAAAATAACAATAAACTTTTATTCTATGCATCATTTATATAATTGAATCTGTAAAGTGTACTTGACAATCATAACGTGATTTTCATATTGTTTTATGATTAAGTGACATAATGAGTTTATATTTCTTAAAGCTTATAACTTTGATGATGATAAAAAAAGATTCAGCACAATTTAGTGTTGTTTTTTTTCTTTCAACTTATTATTTTAACAAATATTCTATTATCAGAAAGGGTTTTGTGGAGATTGTAGTAATTTTAATAGTTGAGATCATGAGCCAATTGAAGTTAGACCATTATGGAAAACCTGGAAGCACTAGACGGCCGTTTAGTCCTATTATGTTCTATTAAATTTTGTGAATACTCATTGAAGCTTTTCAAAATTGTAAACTAATATAACAATAGATAAATATATTAGACCCTTCCCACTTAACTAATTAATTCGAATAGAATACTATTTAAAAAATAGTATTACATTGTTATACTGACCTTAAAACTGAAGACTTATCCATAACACTCTACTTACAAGTGTTTATATTTTATTGAATAAGACTAATGTTATATTGAAGTTAAGAATTCTAATGGTTTGTTTAACATTCAACAAAAACCACTTGATACTATGTAAACGATAAATACATGTACTTATCAAACAAAAATAATAGAATAATGAACTAAGTATGTTTATTCTTGAAAATTAAAAAAAATAAATGACAAAAATATACAGAACAAAAAAGTAAACTTGTAACAATCCTTATGACTGTTTATAATTAAAATGAAAAGTAAACCTGGCTAGAAGTTTATGTAATGAAGCTACTGGTTAGTTAGTACCCTGTAAAAACTAGTCTAAGTTTTACCAAGTTTTATTCGAATTTATTCATCGTATGATCTAGAAAAATTGTCCTCTTAGATGAAAATATCACAAACTTGAAATAAAAATACATCTTTGGTAAACATAGCAAAGGGTAGGTATTATTCGACATAAATTAAACAAATTAGTTATCACAGTGAAAAAGACCAATAGGTAAAACATAAATAATACAAGGATGTACTTTAGTGAACAGAAAAAACAAGCAAGAAAACAACAACCAAACACTATTTTCCTTTAATCAATGAATTGTTTAACAGCAGCTATGATAGATTGTTGGATGATGTTGTCTCGTTGACAACTTCTGTGGTTTGAATCAAATGATTTTGAATATTCGACGTAGAACTCACCTGGTATAACTTCATATGAATGAATAAAACACAAGTACCATGACTCATAACATTTACAACGGTACGTAATCGATCACTGAAACAAAAGAATATAAAGAAAATATTAAATGGTATCAGATGTTCACAGGTGACAGGAAACGATTTAATGAACAATTCAATAAATGTATCAAAATTACTGCAAAAGATTTATAAAACTAAGAAAAATATCTAAATTAGTCCGACAGACAATTATCAGCAGTCAATAGAAGTTATAAAAAAGCACGAAGTTCATCAAAGGGATCTCTTTTCAACGAATTTAACATTGAACTGTACAATAGAATTTGGGGAGTTTAGGAAGTAGCAAATGCAGAAATAGAGTAAATTTGAATATTGCTGATTATATAATCCCTTTAGTTTAATTTCTGTTTGTAAAAAGGATCTCACTAATATTCACTAACAATGTTAACCTTAATTTTATATCAACTAGGTGATTGGGTTATATTATAAACCATTTACCGAAAAGAATTGACTTTTTTTCGCACTTCATCGCTCAATCATTATTTAATATACTATTTCGTTCTTTATATGACTTGGCTGTCAACATATAAATATTAGTTATTCTTAATCACAATGTTAAATATTTTGTGTTCTCATCCTGTTTCTGACATTTTCCCAACTTTATTTTGTTGATTAAGGGATACCAGCCTATATTTTTAGAATAAAATAAATAATTGTGAATTTAGATCGTTTGCAGCTGATGAGAATATTTGAAATATAATAAATTACGTTATTCTGCTAACCTTGTTTATTTATATTTATCAAGGGATTAAGATAAGTTAGGAATTTATTGAGGTAATCAGTTAAGAATAAATGATCATTGAAATGAAACATGACTTATTTGAACTACAATTTTGACTACCACATTTTGATTATCATTGAATATTATAGAAATACACTACTTAATTGAACGCTTAACACAACTCTTTAAATAGCATATTGGATGGTATTATTCAAATACGAAGATAAATAAAAGTTCTATATTTTGAAAAGCATATTAAATTACGTATTTATGTGCAGCCAACTAGTTATTTTCTACCAGAGCAACATAACCATATTATTAATTTCATTATCACAAATATATTTAACACCTATTAATTAATTTGAGGACAAACTAAATTGCTTTTCATTTATTAGAAACATGTGGTGGTTTATTCATTTAAATGTAAAAACAAATCACGGTATTTACTTTAGTTTCTTGAATTAAAAGGTATGTTGCTAAGATATTTAAATAATTGAGAACGAATAGATCCAAATTATTGATCAATCAGCTGTTATTAAATTAACATATCGGATAGTTACAAAAACTTTTTTATAAACACTTTTTTACTGAATAATTTAGTCGGATGAAGGTATTAAACTAAGTTGCAAAAAGTTCAATCTGTATAGAGAAGTGTAGACTTTTAGAGTTTTTGTCCACCGTGTTTCACCCTGAAAAGGCCTAATTTAAAAGAGCTAGCATAAAAAACGCACACAGATAAAGGTGAGTATTTAAAGAGAATGAACGAAAAATAGCCGCCATTTCGTTTTAAAATGATTTAATTAGGTATTCAGTACAGTTGCAAGTGACAAAAAAAACATACAAAAATATCTAAACAAATTACGATTAATTAATTGTAACCACAGTGTGATTGTTTATTAAATAAATTAGTATACATTTGTTTTAAAATAGAGTATTTGATTAGAGTCCGAAACAATACATAATATATATTTAAAGGCAATCAACTACATTAACGGCTACATTATTTATGCCTCATTGGAATAGAAGTGAAATGTGTAAAAATTAGCAACGGCACTAATTTTTCCAATAGTGAACGGTTACAACTTCGGAAAAGAAAAAAAAGATTTGAAAATGTACGGAATGTCGTACGGTGAAGTGCTGTGATACGTAATATGAAGTTATAATAAAGCAGTCAACGAAATAAAATCATATCCCAAAATAAAATTAAGTAGTTGGTAGAATAAAAGATTGAGCAGCTTCATCAAGACCAAATCATAGCTATGGTATCTGTCAGTTGATTATTTTAGGTGAACATATTAGGGTTCAATAGTTAACGATTATACATGATGATAAATTAGATTGTTAGCAGTGACATATATGTATTCAACTTTCTCTATATATTCTTTTATATCTTGAATTTCTCTATTTATTAACTATTTAGTCGCTGATCATCCATTTGTATTTTAATGATTCTGTTTCTAGTTTGTAGTCTGCTTTTGTGGTATTTTAATGCTGTAGTGAATGAAAACACAAGTGGAGACAATCGAATGTATTTGAGCACAAAATTACAGAACATCTTAGTAAAATCTGAGAACCATACAATAAATACTTGCAAAATGTCAATCAATTGTCTCAAACTTCACTGTTCCTGCATTTCCATACCAATTGCTTTATGTTCCCGTTCTTTCTACCTCGATCTTCTTGACCTTCTGCTGCTATATACTCTATTCCTGATTAGTGTTATATACTACTTACATCAATATAAGTAGCACATACCACAATACGTGACAACTTGAACAAAACATATTTTACTGTATAACCTATTCGTCTGTTTATTTGATTAGTCCTGGTCAATGTAGACTAATAATATATTACAAAATGGCTGGTAAAATATCATTACACATTATAGAGTTAAACTCAGTATAGTAAAATTATTTTTCACCATAAATTGACACTAGTTGTAGAACTATCGAAAATTGTTTGGTTTTTGGTTAATCGCACCCCAGAAACGTATTCACATTACTGAGTAGTGTTGAAGTGGATTCTCGAAGTTATAGTGAGAAACGAAAGCCAGTCGTTTAATGAAGTTGGGAATGTGAACCGTTAGATTTCAACATAATGATATAAAAGTATTGAGTCAACTGTGGGATTCGAAGGTCTAAAGTTTGTTCCTTGGGAAGTTTTGTGGGTGAACAAGGCTGAAAGATCCAAAGAATAAAACAGCTATCTAATTCCCTCTGGATTTTCTAAAGTCTCTCTAACTGATGCTAATTCGTGATGAAATTTCAAAATTGAATATTTTCTTCAACCCGCTCTACCTTAATTAAAAATAACGCATTCATTTATTATAGCTTATGTTGATACAGTGATCAATCATCCATGATATTAAAATGTTATTTATTTGCAACTGACACATTTCTTAGTTCCTTAGTAGATATTACGACTACTGAATACGAAAAGTTGACTAATGCGCGAATATCTCAAAAAATGAAATAATCTAACATAGAATTGAAGTAATTAAATTAAAAGTTAATGCAATATTTGTCAAGAGCTACAACATTCTAGAACTTCAAAATGGACACTATGACAGTAATGTTGGTTGAGTGATCTTTCTTTACTGATTTGATGGGTATATCAATGAAATAGACAGTTTGCGGAGAAAGTGCTTTCCTGATGAGGGGTTATAGTCTAGAAAGAGATAGATGTCTAGTGTTCTTTTTTCAGTATTTTTTCCGGATGAAGTCAGTTTGTGATGAAAAATACATTTCAAGTGTATATAGCACAATGTTATATGGTAATCAAATATCGTTTGATACGTTTTAAAAAAACTGTTTGTGTTTAAATCCATCATCATTGTTATTCTATAAAAATGAGACGGTGTCACTTGAGACAAAGTAAGTGAGGAAACGGTGAACAATTAATTGCTGATTTCTTAGGATTGTTAGTAGTTTTTATCAAGGCCACTAGACAAGTTTTAAGGAAGATTAATTAAGGTGCTTAAATCACGTTCTGTATTTTATATATTGAATGATATTCGAGTAATTTGGAGGATGTTGGGAGTTAGAACAGAAACAATGACACAACAATGCATTATATCATTAACGCAGACAAGAAAATATAAGGTGACGCATCAACATGGTACGATAGACAGAATAAAAATTATCAATTACATCATGAAGTTCCATCTTTATCCTTGATTAGTCATTTCTAGCTCAATTATGTCAGTTTGGTTAAATATTGTCATAAATAACATTTTTTGGTTGATAAATTAGTTAGTCAGTGGCTATAAACTCTGAAATCGATACGGTCATCATTTAAAAGATTGATCCTGTCAGTGAATTTGTAGTTTGGCCATCTCATACCAGAATCCCTATCAGTTACCTGTGTTGTCATAATAGAAGTCTATCAATTAGTAAGGATTTATAGACGAGTATTAATCATTTTAAAATTTTACTGTAGGAAAGCTTCTTAGTAATGTAATCATAAAAGACAATAACACACCATAAATTTGTGTCAAATTATAAATTGAGTTGAAGTAAAGCAAACTAATGATATAGTGATTTTAATCATATTGTCTGTGATTGATCATTCGAAAGAATATTTCAATCATAACATTAGTAAATTATTGCGATTATAATAATTATGTAACAGAAATCACTTCATAATTTATTTGTAATTACAATCTATGATGATGGAGCTGTCGTCAATAAGAGTAAAATTTTATTTTAAAAAACGCATTGTATGGAATGCGAAAGTCATTGGCGTAATCGTGCTTTCTTTATTCACTGATGACCTACTAAAAGATATTGATCGTAACAATACAAGACAGCATAATAATACATACACAACATTTACTTCTATTTGTCTAACTGTTAGGTTTTATTTTGTAAACAATCAATAAAAGTTTGTGGACGATAATATTTTTCGTAAAAAAAGAAGAAATACACAAGTTCTTTTACGTGTATATAATTATAGCAGTAAAGACAAACAGAAATATAAGACAATGATAGAAATTAAAAAGTGCAAAGGAGATATCTTAGATTTTGTCTAGTAAAATTACTTTTAATGAATTGTACAAATTATTTTAAGTTGATTGTTTACACTGATTTAAGAGTTTTAGTTCAAGATGATGTATATTTCCACATAGTTATTGTTTCATGTACTTAATTTTAAAGCCACACTTTAAGCACGAGTGCTGGTAATATTAGCCGATTGATCAAACCGAAGTAGGTAAAACGGGGTTTGATTAAGCACCTTATTGGCTAAATACCGAACATCTTGATCATTGAGCCACAGCTCCACGTATTTTCATAAGCATTTCTTTGTTCAGGAATGACAACAATACCCGAAGTAAAGTTTCTTTCCCCAATTTTTGATGGAGATTATTTTAGTTTTTTTTTACAAAAAGTTGATGTTAATAGTTCTGATTAATATAAAATGGTTATTACGCATTAATTTGAAATAAAGATATGCTTTATAGATCATTTGTCATATATATCTGGAACACTACAATATCAATTAAATAAGAGTTATAACTACTAAAATTGAGAATCTTATCCACTACATTAAAGTGAGCGGTGGTCGTATGTAGCAAAATAAAACTGAAATTGAACACACATGCAAAATTCCAATACTTACGCAATAAACTCAGTGACAAAAAGTAATGACACGGAGGTAGATTCAGAAATGTCAAATGCGCGTGTTATTAAAATAACAGTTATAATACTTGCACTTGGAATTGCAGGCAGTGCCATCACATTGACACCGGATAAAAATCTAAATTCAGAGGACGGCAAAACAAAACACAATTAAATATGACAAATATAAATTAGAATGATAAGACAAATTTCAATAAAATAGAGAGAAATGGCTATGAATACCATATATTAAATATGGCATTCTTTGTTTGAGGCATACTGACCTCTTAATATTTGTCATTAAATAATATACTGATGGAGTACATATATTTTGTGAAGGTTTATTTTTGCTCGGACACTATTTGGTCAAGTTAGAACTTATGTCAAACTGTCATCGGAATAGTCAATCTCAAGTGGTGTTTATGATAGTTTCTCACATTTTTATTTAATTTTGTTATCAGAAGAGTTTCACAGATAAAGCTTTTTTTTCTCTTACAGTTTTAGGGAGTGGTCTGCCAGGAATTTCACTTATCGATTTAGATGACAGTTTAGTTGATTGAAAACTTAAATAAAGCCAGAACAAATATTGATACAGAGTAATATGAATTCATTATATTTCGTGGTTTCTCGTCAGCTGTTTACAACCACATATGTATTGGAATTTTACATTAGGATAAGAAATAGTATGGAACAATTGACATAAGTGAATGCAAAGGATTGGAATGACAAAGGTTATCAATGATAACTATATATATGCAAGAACAGGTCAGAGGTTATTAAGTGTTAGAATCAAGGAAACATTAAGGATGGGTGGTGTAATAGTGGAGTTCAGAGATAGATAAGATAAATCGTGTGACAATTTTAGAGGCAATGAAGGAATTGAAAAATTGACAAGATGGGTTACTTAATAATTGAATAGAATTTGAAAACTGACAAATTCTGTCTTCTGATTGCACTGAGCAACAATCCAAGAGGATTTACAATGCGTTTCTCTCCTCATAACTGTAAAATATTAGTTGGTGTCAAACCCTAAACTAATGGTTGAGAATAAAAATGTTGGACGCATCCACCACTTCACTTATTTTAAAAGCTTTACTAGTGCTAGTGGTTTGATTGTCTGAAGTAATCTAGAAAATTCAAATTCATTCACTCACTAACTTCCCTTAGATTCTGAGTTCAAAATCGTTTTATACACTTTATTACTTGATCTCATTCTTTCTTCGTTATGCCTAGTCTTTTTTATCATCACTGGTGCTGCCACTACTATTACTACTAATTCTATAGTTTTGGAATACATTTTGGTTTTGTCATACTATGCTGATGTGATGTGACAACTGGGCCTATACATAGTACGTTCATTGTTTATGGCTAACTGACTAATTGCTTTGTTATGACTAGAAAGGTAAGAAATAAACTTGCTAAAATTCTTAGATGAGTTAAAGTGAATAACCGGAATTGAATCTTGTAAATAAGATAGAAATTAGGTAGTGGGAGAAAAGCACTACTCAGTTGTCAATAATGGTATTGTGATAGCGAAAATACTGAATAAAATTACTAAAGCTCATCTGACGATTATAACGGTAGCCAACTAGAGATTGCGTACAAGCCCATTAAGTGAATATCTAAAAAGCAGAACAGCTGGTCAGAAAACCTTTTTATTTCGCTTGGGTAGAAAATTAAGTATACAAAAGTAGATATTTCGATAATTTATTTTAAGTAAAAGGGATACAATGACGAATAGTTGCGTCCTCAATATCAGACTTACGCCATTTGTCATACGCAATTGATTTATTAGGAAAATATTTCACATATTAGTTAAGGTAATTGAAAGCTAAAAAATGTCTTGCATCACATTTTTATACGATAGAGTTTGAAGTTATCGATAAAATTCTAGTGAATGTTATCAAGATATGAAATAATACATTATACTGAAGTCTTAGTTAACAGGGGGAAGTGGTATACTTTTCCAAATCAATGAAGAAATAAATGACCTAAGAAACAAATTATTTAGTTGTGCGATGACTTTAATTTTCCTTTAGAAAGTTATGCTCAATACATAGTGGTAGAAAATAACCAGTTTTAGTTGAGTGAACTTAGTTGTTTGGTAGCATGGTGAATCTACACACAGCTAGATATATTGAGTAATGTTTAATTTCAATTCTAAAACCCAGGCATGATCGAATTAGATAAACAGAAATAATGAGTTGTTACAGTTCATGTAAAAAGAGAAAGAAGGGAAGTCATGATAACAATTAACAACGTTGCTAAGTTTAAAAAAATCAACAATTTGTTTAGAGTTTCAGTACTTTTTCAGAGAAACAAATTCATCATCGTCCTGCTAGATAAGGTGGGAAAATTGAAAGTTATATGAACAATTTAGATGAAAAACAGGATATTTGACATGAATTTCACACTATTAGATAACTCATTATACTGCGAAGCAGGTTTCTACCTACGTCTAGCGAAAGTTACTTGAGTTATTTTCAAGATATTTATTTAGATATGAAGATCAAATATGAAACATGGTGGTGAACCTTGAAAGATGGTCATTAGAGTTTTGTGACATCGATAAGTTACAAATACCTTTGTGTGACAGTTAGTATACGCAGTAATTAAACGGGGTTTGAATAAGGGCACTAAATTTGTTGTAGGTGTGTATTATCTGACAGAACTGAAATATGTATTAAGTCAGTCCAGTTGATATATATCTCGACTTTTTCTATATTGCCTACAGAGAGAGAGAGAGGGATAGTGGAAGAAGTCACAATACAGCTAAGCTATGAAACTAATTCTACAATATACAAATACAAGTTTAACAACTTGTGCTTACGGATGATAGAAACCTCTTTCATTCATCCATTGTTTCCTGATGTACATTATTTTTCTGGTTTTTATTCTTTATTTAGTACTTTTCTTTGTGTTGTAACATCGAAAGAATGTGTTACTTCATGTAATTTAACAAATATTCATTCAGTTAGTAGGTAATTAATAATAGATGTACATTGATATTACCGAAACGTAATTGACAATATGGAGATTTGAGATGACCATAATTAATTAAAATCAAAACATTTATTACTACATATTTTATATATTCAATCATGGACTAACAATAACGAAGAAATATGAGACATATAAAGTTTAGAGCTGCTTCTCAATCTTTATACTGAAGTTACATTCAAGAAATTTTGGAAATACGACAAACGAAATAAGTCATTGTTTTATTAAAATGTAACTTTAACGATGACCGTTTGTGTGCAGCTATCATATTTATGTATTTGTTCGTTTATTTTTTATAATGAAAGTAATTTTAACAACAATAAAAGAAAAAGTATTTAGACTTACCCAATTGCAATAAACTGACCAGCATTTAAAGGTTGTTTAGTTAATTGGGCTACAAAGCAAACAGCAGATGCAATAAATGCAGCAGATCCATTTGCATTGAAGCTTGTGAGAAATGGTGCTACAGTTCGTACTAAATCTGACTCAATTCCATAACGATCACAAACTTGAAAAAGTTGTGGAAGAGCAATTAAACTGGAAGATATTTTTTTAACGAAAAAAATCATTATTTAAATTTATTAGAAGCGGTTACATAGATATGTTGTACTGTAATGCATTGAAAACTATAGGCTATCAACTTCTAGGTTCAATTATCAGGTTGTTTTAATTTCGCATTTGTGTTAATTCTGATTATTATCGATCAATTTCATTATTAAATTTAAGGACTTTCTATAAACACATTGAGTTGTTGGCTCACTTTTTCACTTATTTTATTCTTTTACAGATTCTATTATATACTGCTTCTCACAATCCCCCAACACACAAGGTACCTTCAGGCTAAATGCAAACCTGACAAAGACTGAATGCTAAAGCACGATCTGGCAAGTTGAGTGCAGAGGATATATTCAGATGTTGGTAAATTTAATTTTATTATTTAAATGAACGTTTAAGTCGATTTAGGTATAAGCTATTTAGGATGGCCGTACTCACGCATACCCGTCTCTTTGTCATTATGACGACGTTTCGTAACACGGTACTTTTATCGCTTAAACATACTAGGAGACTATTATTTGGAAACTGAAGACAAAAATACTTCATATATACCATTTTGTGAAGTTGTGCATTAATGTCTATTCCAGTGATCAGAAGCAAGGTGTCTGAGTGAACCTGTTCATTCACTTTACTGAGAAATAATAACAGCATGATAGATTAGTAACTGATGAAATATAAGTAAAAAAAATACTCATTTCTTATTTGCCACAGTACGTTACTTATGCTGCCAGTTGAGTACAACAAGCATTTGAATAAGAATTTGTTCCGCTTTAGTCTGCAATTAAAAGATAATGTGGTTGGGGATTCTAAACACACACAAAAATCAGCCATATTAAAAAAAACTAGTGAATGAATGATGTAGTTAAGCCTGGAATGATAGGATAGATAAATAAAAAGCATAGGATATAGTATGAGTGTTTAAGGGCTAGTAGTCATGATTTTCATAAGTGGAGTGAGAGTAAATCAATAAAAACGAAATCAAATGACTGAAAAAAACGATGCTAAGAGTAGTGAGGATGTAAAGGGAAAGACGGGAAATGGGACTTTTGGAATTAGATAATGAAAGACAAAGTTTGTGCATTTTTATCGACTTCGGCAAATGAGACATACTTTACTTTCAAAAGCGCTGAAACAGCCAGGGTAAAGAGTTGGATGGGAGATTTAGTGTAATTTTATCAAACTTTTGTACTAGCTTAAAGGTTTAACAGTTGATTTATGGAGTATAATTGTCGGCTATCAAATCAAAACAAATAAAATCGATGGTTGCAAAGTGAGTGATATGATTTAAAATCAATCACAGTAGGATTATTGTATAACTCCTTTAATCTTGCAAGAAATAAATATTTCAAAAATGTGTAGTTATTCAGTTGAACATATATTTATAGCTCTTTTTAGAGAAGTCTTGTTCGCTTAATTTCTGTAGCTGGGATGATTTAACAAACGTGATAGAGAGAAATTGGAATTCCAAGAATTTAACTAGGTTGATGTGTACTCACGCATCTTGTCTAGGGGAGGTAGAAAACGTTAAGATCAATCCAAAGGATCATAAACGAACAAGTGGAGTATAAATCCACCTTGATTACCTGGTATTATAGGAATCCGTCTCATGTATGACGTGACTTAAAACATTCTTAATGTTTAACTTTTCGGGTGAAATCTTAAGAATATACCATAAACTAGTCTTATAAAGATAGTTACATTTTAGTGATTCGAAATTACACGTGTTAAGTTTATATACAAGCTTCTATGCAACTATACAAGATATTCCACTAGACGAATCAATAAGATGTGAAGTTAATACCTAGTAAATAGTTGAGTTTCATAGAGTAACTAGTCGAGAATCTGAAGAGATTGCTTGTAACTTTAACTCCTTTGTCCTATAAAAATATAATAAATTTCAACAGATCTAAAGAAAATAATTGATCAAAATAAAAAGTCAAACAACAAACTTACGAACTGGTCGAACTGAAAGCAGTCAATACAGGCTCAGATAAATAGTAATAGAAGCGAAATAAATTTCGTCTTACTGCTATGAAGAAAAATACTGGCATGATCACAAGTACAATGATTGAAAGAAATGTAATTGACGATGCAACGAACAGAATTAAAGCGATAAAATTATCTCCAATTCTTTCCATTCGTGCGATTGCATATGCGATTAAACTAATCATGGCGATTGGGAGCAATCTAAATAAAGTGTTAAATAGTAGTTTTAACTTCAAAAAGATATTAAAAATCCTTAAAGAAAACAAATCTTAATTAACAATTGAATACATCAATTGGGATTTATTAGAATTTTTTGCACTTGATTTTGGATTACATAGATTTTGTGAAACATTTAGCGGTACTACTTGACTCCTTGAACAGCAGGACTGGTTTGCAACTATACAATTCGGTGGTTACAAATGGTGTTTCAAGTGTTTATTCATTGCTTCATCAAGTGATTACCAATGTATTTTTTTTAACTTAGTAAAATAATACTAATTTCAAACATTATATCCCAGTGGAGCTTTGACCAATTGACTGTGTACATATTTAGATTTTTTACTACACTTAGTATTATTTTCATTAACTGATATCTAAATTGAAGATGTGTTAAAGGTAAGCTAATGTTGTATGTTCGATCAATGTATATCAACAAGCCAATTCACGCCAATTGAAATTGTTACCATTACATGCAGAATACGTTTTTTCAAATTGATTTTCGAGAGCTATCTAGGCTGAATCCTGAAAGGAAAACATGAATTAACTGACAACTTAACAACTGATAATTACTTATATATTGTTGCTAATACAAAAAATCTACATGGATAGTTTACAGACAGGTTGTTTATGGGCAGTTTCATGGGATTTTAAAAAAGATTGACGATAGTAAATCCAGTATTCCGTTTGCGAGTCATTTTACAAATGATTTTAAATTTCGATTAGAACTATAAATTTCTTCAGTAAAAGCTGAACAATGTTTTGTTAAAAAGTCAAATATATGGAATCAAGAGTAAAATTCTCACTTGATAATAAACTCAATAATAATAGTCATTATTTCGGAAATGCACTCAAATAATGCAATTAATGGACGCAATTTTTCCCTTCGAGACCCAGCAACTAAACCAATAACAAGGCTAGTGGTAAACAATCCTACAAATAAAAAAATTTGAATAAAAACAGGAAGACTTTGTAGCATTACTAATAACAATAATAAAACAATAGAAGAATAGATACGGTCAAGTAACCAATGTATTGTAAATGCATGAATTATGTGAGGTTGTTCAACATTGTTATTCACTTGAAATAATGCCTTCAAGATTAAGGGATTTGATGTTTTACTACGTTTCTGTCACGTTTTATAAAGTTTCCTTCGAGTGTTGTGAACAAACACTCGCGTGGGGACAACCAAGTTTTAATTAATACAAAATTACAGAATATCTTGGTAAAATATGAGAATCCTACACTGAATGCTTTATTGGAGATTTCCATCATTTGTCCCTCACATTCTGTATAATTCTTCCAGTTCACAATTCCTTTCTGTTTCTATTTCTATTCTCTTCAGCTCAATCTTCTTAGCCTTCTGATGCCAGGTTTCCCACTTCCGACTGGTTTAACATGCTGCTAGCGTTGACAGACATAAGTAGCATACACCAAACTAGTACTTAAATGGTATGCGTAATTCATGAGTAACTCTTCTTTGGTCGTATTCCAGTCAATCAGTCAACTAAAACGTAGAATCAGGTACATATGTGCATCGGTTCAAGTTGCCACACTTCATTAGCACAACAAGGTGACTAACAAATTCATAGAAGTTGTTATTTCAATTGTAGTAATATATAGAGAAAAACTGCATATGATACATGATAAAAGGATTAGTTCGTAGAAATTAAAGGTATAAAGTAGTTCTAATCTTACTGTTTAAGGAAAGACAAAGAATGTATACACCTACGCCACTGTGGTCGATTCTGAGCTATGTCACCAAGAGTCTCCAACCACTCGTTACAACAGTCAGGCGGGCCCCAACAAAGTAGTCTACATCTATCAGAATGACTCAGACCAGAAGTTAGTCACTTCAATCACTGATGCCACGTTTTGGTTCAGCCGCCCCTAACTTTCTTCCAACCATACCCAACACCGGTTAGCATTGCACGTCGTGGTAATCGGTGTTCAGGCATACGCAGCACGTGGCCCAACCATCTCAGTCGATGAAGAATCACAACCTCATCAACTGATCTACCGCCATTCCCTGATACACTACGCCTAACCTCACTATTACTTACCCAGTGATCCCAACAGATGCGTGCAGTATTTCTAAGGCATCTGTAATCAAATACTAGTAACTTATGATTATCTTCTACTCTTAATGGCCATGTTCCGCAACCGTAAAGTAGAACGGAATGAACTGTCTCACAGTATACTCGTCCCTTAATTGATAGACGATATCTCGTATTCGCCATAGATGACGTAAGTTGGCAAAAGCCAAACGAGCTTTTCGAATCTGTGCTGAGATTTTGCCAGACACCGACCCATTAGGGCTGATGAGTGAAGTTGTCAATGCCTTCGATTGCTTCACTCCCTATCCTTGGTTCAGGTGTTGACACAGGCCAGTCCTGAAGCAACAATTTGAATTTAGAGGGGATGAAACACATTCCAAACATCCTGGTATTGTTGCTCAGTGCTACCGGAAGACTGCATCTTATCAGCGTCTTCACCAAACAAGACTATATCATCTGCGTATTCCAAGTTGATAAGTGAACCTTCTGGAAAGAGATCAATTCCTGAAAATTCAGTTGACGAGAGAGTTATTTTCAGCAGTATGTCTATGATGAAATTAAACAAAAATGGAGAAGGTGGACAACCTTGACGGACACTACTTGAGGTTGTAAATTCGATGACAGTTCGCCATAAGCTCTGATTCAACTGGTATTGTTCTAGTAAAGAGCCTTCACAAGGTTTGTGTACTTCTGAGGTTCACCTTTCAATGAAAGACACTGCCAAACAACCTCTCGGTCAACAGAGTCAAATGCTGCTTTTAAGCTAAGAAAAACTATTATTGTCAAGTGTCGATAAGCATGCCTGAGTTCTAAAACCTGACGAATGGGAAATATGTAATCGATACAGCCACGATCAGGTCTAAAACCAGCAGTGGAATGCAAGACGCACTTTTCGTTTCACTTGAGACTAGCCAGCTGAATGTACCAACAAGCAATACAAAAAATGAATAGAAAACAAAGATAATGTGGGATATTGTACGAATAAGATGAGTTTACAAACGTAAATTCATTAAAAGGTTCAGGGAAATTTTAAGTATAGAACAAAAACAAGGTCTCATAATCGGTATAATTCGTTCATCAAAACACGACCACTCATATCTAAACACCTTTAAGTGAAAACACTCTAAAGAAATTTACTAAGAAACTAAGTCAGATATAATAATGGGTGTTAAGTACTTTTTTAAACCTCGTTCATCTATGTAGTGAAAGATTGACAAAATACTAGCATCTTACTAGAGACAAACAGAGAAAATATATCTCACCTAGGATATTTGTTTGTGCCGCATGCTCGATTACTCGTTTGTATATTATCGCTGAAGATGAATTACTATTGGGGTTAGGAAAAGATTTAACTGGCTCGTATGTTGTAACTATCTTTAAGATAAATGAAAGTAAAGAATGATAATAACAGACAAATAAAACTAACCGAATGATAAAAGGTGGATTTTAAAAACAATTTATTTAATATCCAATTAATATAATACAGCAGATTTTAAGTAACGCATGTTATGTTAGGGATGAGGATATTACTTGCAAGACAGAATAAAAGAACGTGGACAGATTTGAATTTATAATCTAGTGGTTGAAATTCTAATCCCTAATTGCTTGAATCACAACCAAAATATTGCAAAAATAACATTTATAACTTTTTCTCAAAGTAAATTTATATAATCGACAGAAATTATAAACAAAGCTTTGTAGAAGGACCTTTACTGTATTTACGTCTATCTGAACTAGCCAATCGAGAATCCTAATGGATCCAAGGATAAAGAAAAAGCAAAGTTCATACAAAACCCTTGATTAAGACTTTCATAATTATTTTAGACTAACTGAAAAACCGGACCAAAATATCAATGAGATTTTATTTTAAATTGTTAAATTGCGGAACATGAATAAAATTTATTGTAAATAATATTCTTCGTGCATATATTAATATTTTAATTTCGCCTTCCCTACTCAATGCGAAACCTGACTGGTATATATATTCATTAATATCTAGTATCAAGTATTATCTTGAATGCTTAGACTACACACCGTATACGTGATGAGGCAAATATTCAAGTACCATCATATTTTGAATAGCAATAATACACATCACGGTAGTCAATTACAAAAGAATATGGAAAATAATTGTCTCCATTATTGATGGTAACAAAAATGTTTACAATGAGGCTTATTAAATTATAATAACTTTTCAGTTTTGTGTACACTGACTAGTTAAACACAACGTAGAATGCGTTTCGAACAGGTAGATATCTTATACACAATAAATTCAAGTTGATTATTTTTAGGGATTTGTACTTCTTACCTTTTATACTATCATGTTGGTTGACTGGACTAATATCTCGACAATGCCTGAATTTTCCAAATTAAATATACTTCGGATGGTGGATGGAAGTTGAACTTATAACGCATTTGGTCCATTAAGCTACTGATTCATTATGGTCATCAATGTGACAGCTAATTATAACATTTTCAGAGTGGTTGTAAGTTAATGCTAATTAAATAGCATCGTCTAAAATTGCGGTACGTACGTTTGTAACATTCGATAATAGAAATGAAAATAAAATGCTACCATAAGTTAAATGAGTACTGTGGAGGTAAAATAGAAACTATTGGTTATAATACCATCATTATTTTACGATTTTAACTACAGTAGCTATCCGCACAAATATGTGGTGAAATCATCCTCTAAATATTACTTTAATAATATTGCAAACTATTTTAATTAAACATTAGAATTTTAATTTTATTATTCATTCAAATGGGATAAATAACCCTTAAATTATACACCTAAGCTACACAAGAGTTACATGGATGTTGACAGACTTTGAAAGGGAAATATCACACACAATTTCGTTTAAAAATATTTAAATTATGACATTATCATTGGTAATTGCTTACTGAAAACTTACCGAAAACAAAAACATCCTAACAATGTTATCAGGAATCATATTTCTAAAAATATTTACGTAAAAGACTTTATTTTTATTTGAATGCAGATCATAAATAAATAAATAAATAAATAAATAAATATATATATATATATATATATATATAACACTGAGAATGCAATCAGAATAACAATGAATTTATTTTTAAGAATTGTTAGAATTCATAGATTATAATAAATGTTCATTGATAATTAAAACTATAATTTGTGCGTATACAAGCTATAATTCATCAAACAACCATCAAAATGCATTCAAATGTCCATGTGAAAGAAGAAAAGTTATGTGATACCTTACAAAACCTCAATCAAGTCTAACTTCTAGGTAACCATTATGAATCTATTCTGAATAATTAAAATGATCTCTTTACTATTTTCATGACCATTTCAGTAAACTAAACGGTTTAGAAGAACTTGGTTGTCTCTGCTAATCGCTGACTAGTAGTATCTCACAAACTCTGAAAAAGTAGCTCCTCTGAACATAGGAATTGAGTTAGTACTTCGTCGATTTTTAGGTCTAGTTACTTATTTTCCCGTTCACTAATGGACCTACATATATATCACTAACTTCATGTTTTGAACAAGTTGTTAAATCTTCTTTAATTTTTCTGTACCTACAAGTTTTGTACTTCATTAGTACACATGAACTGAAGTTATTCACAAAGTAGATAAGTGATTTTCATACAATCCCTATTATACAAGATGAAATGTCGTTGTAAATTAATCTTAAGGAGTTATTTTACATTCTGTAGGGGCGATGCATAGATTGAAACAAGGCATGTGAGTTTACAGACAGCTTAGTACCGTGAAATTAAGGGGTTTCTCATGCGAAGCCAAATACAGGGAGTTTAAACGCAGTACTTAAACTGACCTGAGGAAGTCTAGAAATACGTCCGATATTTCGATTTTCCTGGAGCCTTTTGACAATCCATCCAACGTTTTAACACTTTTAGTGAATCTACCACCTAAAATAAACGTTTAGGGACAAAATGTCATGGACCTGGGTCGATAAGTGCGGTAATACCGAGACCAAGAAAAGCCCCACAAATATTCATCAAAACACAGTATCCCAGCGCAAGTAACGCCATTTTCCCTTGCACTGAAGGCTTCAGCTTAGACGACACTACACATATTAGGCGTTTTAGGATTTTAAAAAACACGGAGATTACTTGACATTATATTCGTGGTTATCAGAGGGATAACAGCAAAATTTAATGATCTGATAAAAAGTTCCCCAGGTAGACCTATTATTTATTAACAGTTTACATATAATTACCTATCCACAATAAAATAGGTTCTGGGACAGTAAGGAAATTTAGCATGACACCCAGGATGATCCCTACTGCAATTCCTATGAAAGTGGACAGAAGGACAAGATTGTTTCGCAGCATAGCTTTCCATCTGTAAAGAGTTGTATTCGTTGTTGAACAGAAACTTTGACAAAAGTTTGTCAAACCTCATGATTATTTTCAAAAAACCTTTCCTGAACCTTAGATGTAGTTTGATTCTGCTGTGTTTATCCACACAAACCGATTGTTTTCGATCATTTATAGGTAGCGCGTGTAAACTACAACGGCCGATAATCTGATTGGTCCATTAGATAGAAGGTAGTCGTTTGGGTGACCTTCAACTGTAGCGCAATCAGGCTGAACGCTACCTAGTCTTCGTGATCAGATTGTTGGAATCTCACACCTATGTTCATGCTGATTGCTCTCATTATAAAAGTTGAAAGCATTTTTGTGTTTACTGAGTCATCGAACTACTTTTTCTCTCACTATTTTATCATTCACATTTTCTCACATCCACTACTCTTCACACTGCTTCATGATGCAACCTAAATTCAAGCTAAAAATCAACCTACTAAAGACTGAGCATCACGTTAGTCGTAAAAAATGTGTGTGCTGGAGTTACTTTATCCTTAATGCTCATGTCGCCATGTAAACGGGGTCATGTCATGTATAATTGCGTCCATTTAGTGGGTAAAAGAAGCATTTAAAGAACCATTTTGCATGAGATTTTCTGTGCGACTGCTTCAACAACTAAGATTCCACTGTTTAGGGAGGATGAAAACGTAGGTGGAATGAAATGGGTTACTTAATTTTTATTTATTGGTGAGTGGTTTTCGCTGTTCAATTTGGCTAACATATTATACATGAAAAAATAATCACAAACCAACTACAGATAAGAACCCTGTAAGAAGCAATCTAGTCATGCTTGTAATCAACGTATTTGGATAAATAATAAGTATCGTCTTGGGTGTAATCGTCTATAATGCAGTGTGTTATGTGTATCTGATGGGGAGAAATAAATTAGGATTTAACTGACAAGTGTTACATATTATGCGCACTTGTGGATTTAACATCCATTCATATAGCTAACAGGTTTTACATCGTTTATTAAGAACCATTGTGGGTGCAATAGGTAGGGAACTAAGTGCCAACTGTGTCTGTTGTTAGAATAAAAATATTGCTAAACATATTCAGAACCATTTACTATCTTATTTTACGTGAGTAATATGTTCTTCATCGTATTCTATTGGATGGTGAAATTACCATATGTGTTGACTAGGATCAACTAGCTCCACTTCCTCTCCATGTTGCGTAATGAAGGTTGCTGTTAGATAGTTAGATCTGCCGAAGGACATAAAGCACAGAGACAATTGGTTCTTATTTAGTTGTTTCGAGTTACCTTCTATGGGCGCTAATACGTTGGCTTTGCCTGAGACTTGGACACTTGTTCTTTATTGGCGCTCGCACATTGACTGTAGCAAACTAGCAGAGAAGTGTGGGATTTATACTAGTCAAAGTGAAATTTCCATTGATTACTTTCTCATTAGTCGGACGCTGTGTGACCGTTCTTGATGACAGTCGTGTCACATGATTTGACGGTTAATTATTGTCGACGGATGTTGTTGATATTGAAATAAATTTCGTTACCATTTAACCAGGTTGTAGCATAAGGTTGGGGTGTTCTATACATAATCTCCGACTTTATGTGTTGGCCACTTATGTTATTCGTGAGCCCAACAATAAAAACGATTCTCTCGACTTCACATCCTGACGAAAGAATGTAACAACCTAAGTTAGGTGGTTAAGAGATTTTCGATAACTTTCTGTAAAGATTAAATCATTATTGGTGAAGTAGTTAGTTACTTAATTATTTTATGTTGGCACTATGTTTCTTCTCAAAAGGGAGTACAACAACTAGTGAGCTTGTCTTTCGAACACAAAAGTTTTGTTTTATGTACACAATAACACTCTAATGTACAGATAACTTAGGCTGATAGATTTTTTCTCCGGAATTAGTACAAAATATCTAACTTTATTTTTCCTGTCTTTTTTGATACTGGATTTGTTTTTCTCCCATTTATATTTTGTTAAGATATTTATTTTATGCTATAAAAATCAAACTCAATGCATGATGACAACCAGGAAGAGAGATAGCCAATGATGGGACTAAGAAATCCTAAATTTTAGAAACTGATCACAGTGACTATAAGTTGTGGTAAACTCAGTCGAAGCAATATTAAGTGGATCACCATGAAAGCTCTGAGGGAATTCGATAAGAAGATATATGTTCTGTGTTCCCTTCTTGCGTGCCCAACGGAGTCCTAAAACTAGATTGGATATAATCTCTTCTATGGTAAATCCAACGCTGTTTAGATGCACCAGACAAGGATTCTTCAACCATATAGTCCGCGTGTACCGGAAATGAAGTTTTGGAGAGAGCTCATGTCAAATAATGCACGAACGCCATGAGCAAACAGCCAATCAAAAGACGCAGCCTAAAATTCAGGCTTGTACATTTTGGTGGATGCAAGTGTGACGAAAATATCATTTCTCAGAATAAAGCTTGACCAGTTAGACTTTAATTCGACAATAAACCTGAAATCGTGACGTTTGTATAGAGAACCTGGGCACTAGGTTTGGAGTATAAGAAAAAAATGCACCTGGGTCTTCCCCTTTGCCACTTTTGGTCTGGCTGTACTGTCAATAGACTTTTTAGAGGATCGTTGATCTCTAGTTGACACTCAGAATAACGTTTAATACCTAAAAATACTTCGGGTTACACAATCACGTCATTTCTCTAAATTTAGCACGGACTTTATCAACAGCAACTGTAAAGTCCTATAATATACCCGAGTGATTTCCAAACTCAACCAGACTCAACCCTTAACCTTCCAAAAATTAGTTAAAAATAAGTCGTATGCTCTTAACTAGATACTGCAGTTGGGCATTACCCATCACTTTGAGTACCAGCTGGCACCTGTAAAAGCGGTCCAACAGAAAAATGAAGATGACTGGTGATCTTGTGAGGATCAAAGAGCCACCAACTGCGGGATCGTACGACATAATTACCCAATTCCAGGGAGGGCATCCCCAAGGCTGTGATTACCACACTCTTTTGAGTGTCGCAGAGGCAAGGCTTCTGACGTTAGGGTCGGAACATCTCTCAATTTACTCGGCATTTGAACAAATTTTCACTCATACTGGGAAGCAAGAGCCTTATAAACCACCAATCGATAGACTGAGAGCTAACTTTTATGAATAATTGCACCAAGTGGTCCAACGCATTGGCTTGATATCACAGTTCATCGGTGTTACATGACAAGTGGAAAGTAAGGACAATCGGAAAGTCGATGCATCAAAACGACGCCTCGGCCTTTCTCCCAGAAAAATATGAGAAAATAATATTTGGTAGTTTTCATACTTTGTCTCATCCTGGCGCGAAATTTAATACCAAACTAATAATTACTAGATATGTATGACCAAATTCACAAGGAGATGCAAACAAATGGGTTCGAGAGTGTTCGATTTATCAACAGTTATTGGTTAACCGTTATAAAAGTTCACTTGTCGGGAGTTTCTCATAGAAAAACGCTCGTCTTACCATGTTCATATAGGTTTGGTAAGTCCTTTACCGTGTTCTTATGGTTTTATGCAAAGATGGATTCACGAGGTTCCCAATAGTCATACCGTTAACTGGAACCAGGGCTAAGGATGTGATCAGAGCTTTCACTCATAACTGGGTGGCCATATTTAGTACTACAATTTAAATCTGGGCTACTCAGCAACTTATTGAAACGTTTAATCTCCAACAGAATACGTTGCATAGCATATCATCTTCAGGTTAATCGGGTGATAGAACGTTTCCATCCTTACTTAAAAGCTAACCTAACGTCATACTGTAACATCATTCTGTCGATAGAACGTCTAGCATTAATTACGTCGAAAATAATAATAGCCATCAAAACTTATTCACAGTGTTAATAGGTGGAGCTAGTTTTAGAAATGACTTTCAGACTGCCTGCTAAGTCTATCGATTCTTGTGGTAAAAGTAAAGAGCATGACCATGAAAGTCAGACCAGTTTATGTTGGTCAACAGTTACGAGCTACACACCCCGGAATAAAAACACTTGCAAAAACATCCGAATGAGGTGAAAAAAAGCTGAAAACACAAATAAGTCAACAATTTGGAGGCATTTTTGAGATAGTTGCAATAAAATCCAAATATCCTCTTGTTGAAAAGACGAATAGACAGCGACAATGAGTATTGATAGATTCAAACTGGCTTATCTTGATAACGAACAACCAATTGTGGCAACAGACCATTTAATTGAAAAAGTAATTACAAAGTCGACAAGTGATAACAGTAATTACTCATATGTTACCTGAAAGATTAGGTTGTCAACGAGTTTACCACCGGTAAACACTCATACAATAATTATCAGAATGGGGGCTAGTGGGGATTATAATAATTCAATAGTTGAATTAATGAGTTGATTAAAGCTAGACCACCAAGGACAACATAGAAGCACTGGACGTGCGTTTCTTTCTACTATAGAACTCGGCAGCTGTGCGCATCCACAATCCCGCACGCGGAGCTCGAACCAGATACTTGAGGTCCCCCGTGCGAACGCCTAACATCTAGATCGATGATCTGGCATTCAACAGTGTTAATTTCAAACTCCTCTGATAGCTTGCAATGTTCAGCAGCGTCTAGACGTCTTCCTAAAATAAAGTGCAATGTGGTACAATATGGCAATGGAAAAAATGTACAATGAAAATTTCTATTCGTTGTATTCTTCGTTGTTTTTTCATCGTTTCCATCCGCCCTGGAAATAAAAAGATATTGCTAGTGTTTGTTGAAATACACTCTTATGTGAGTAAGGACACAAAATGAACGGGCATGCAGGCACATTTCTAATATAAAATAGCGTAAAAACAATTTCCGCGCAATGATATTTTGTGAAAAAATAAATCGATAAAAATGAACACATATATTGGCGTATTAGAAAAAAATGATGTTTTGTTGTTTTTGACACAGGAATACGCAAAATCGGGGTAAAAATATGATACGCAATCTCTTGCGCGCAGTCATCGTTTAAGTGTTCCGGAAACTTTATTCTGCTTCCAGAGCTCACTGTTTTGGGCCGGCTGTCAGCTGCCAGCGTGGTTTGTCATTGTTGTTGATTAACAAGCTGGATATCGGAGTTGTGAGGCCCGTGTCGTCTGAGGTTGCAGGAGGAAAATCAACATTATTAGGGTCTCCTTTTAAACACATGACTTTATGACGGTCAATGCTG